TAACTCAGAAAGTTTGGAGAAATTAATAAAATCATATTTTGAAATCAAGCCTGGTAATTTGCTATCTTGGATTGTTGATTGACACAAGAGGAACTCTTTCCCCCCACTAAAGGTCCAGTTTTTTAGAGTCCTTATCAGAGAGGGTAGCCTGCTGCACTCAGTAATGGCCTGCACCATGAACACATTCGGTACTGGGTGGGAAAATAGATATTCCATCCCTTGAGCTGGAATAAAGTAAACTTTCTCTTTTGGAAGCTGGGTTGCAGGTGGCTGGGATGTGCCAGTCTTCGCCAGTTCCAGAACTGTTGATGGGACGTGCCACTCTGGTAGGGCCTGTAGTGTGGAGAATGTCCAGAAGTTTGTGAGTAGGGTCCTGAACTTCCTCTGGAGGAATCTGTAAAGACCCTGCCTTTCTGAGAAGTTCCTGAAATTGTTTAAAATCATCCGGCAGTGATGGTGAAGCCAGCTCCACTGCCTCATCAGGGAATGAGGCGGGAAGAACTACTGGTGGATTGGGCAATTTGTTCTTCCTCCTCATAGAGGTTCCTGAGGGGATTGAGGTTCTTCAACCAAGGCCCGCTATAAAAGGGAGAGTGCAGAGAAGGAAATGGAGGCAGAAAGGCCTGGGATAGCAAGGTGGCGACAGCCCTGCACCAGGCTGACTTTGCGAACACAGCCAAGAGACTGAAAGAGACTACAAGCCCAAAAAAAGAAGGGCTGACAGGCTTAATTGAAGGAGAGCGTCCAAGAACTGACCTGATTGAGAGCAAACTAAGGAGGGGCAGTCAGGAAAAGCTGAGACCCCTCGAGAGACCACCCCAAGAGGCTGTGACAGAGGCCAACCTCTTCTTAGAGTACTTAGATGGGGACCTCCCAGGTTTTTTGAGGGTGTTTTCTCTTACTCTCATCACGCCCATGTCTATCTGAGTCTTTAGTCTTAGGCTCCAATGATCCAGGACCATGAAGCACCAAATCTGAAGGGGCACTAACAGGTGGATCTCGCCAACGTACAGGGGGGTCAGAGTACCCTGCACTGGGCTGTGGTCACACAGAGAGCTCCATCAGATGATTCCTAGAGCAAAACTTGTGAGACTGTCATGTACAAGTAGGGAACGAATTATAAATCTCGCACTTAGATGGGATATGAAACTCCCCAAGGCAATAGAGACAAGAGATGTGGGGGTCACTAACCGGGAAAACCTGGGCACTGGCCACATGGGGTTGAAAGATGGGGATCTTGGGCATAAAATAGATGCCCCAAACGGTGCCTGGGAGAAACCCCCTAAACCACAGAATGAATGAACTAGCTAACTAAGAACAGCAACTATGTGCAAAAAAACCCCTGGAAGATGCAGGTGCAGACACTGTTGGATTTCCACCTCAGACAGAAAATGGTGGAAGGAATTATGCTACCCCCTTGCAAAGTTATTCTTCAGCTCAGCTTCTGCCTTGCTGGCCCACAAAAAAGGTCACTAGTACCAATGGAGCCATATAGACAGGTTAAATAAAGGGAGATGTTGTGCTGACAAAGCTGAGGGTACGTCTACATTTGAGCTGGGAGCCATGATTCCCAGCTCATGTAAATGTACCTGTGCTAGCTCTGCTCACGCTATCCCCTAAAAATACCAGTGCAGAGTGGGCGGCCGCTCAGGCTAGCTGCCCCGAGTACAGTCCCACCCAACTCCCTGGTAAGTACTCAGGTGGCTAGCCCAAGCTGCCACCCATGCTGCTGTGCACACGATGCTATTTTTTGGTGTTAGCTTGAGCACAGATAGTGCGGGAATCACACCTCCCAGCTCAAATGTAGACGTGCCCTGAGTGAGTGAGCCTGCCAGGCCGGGAGTGCATAGTGTGGAGTAGAGGGGAGCAGTCACGGGTGAGGAAGGAGCTGATGGTGTTGTGAATGCATTGCTTTGTTAGAGGACCTGCCAATGCTAGGGTCAGCTCTGTTTCAGGGGTTTAAAGACGAGATCCAGAGCCCACTGAAATCGATAGGAATCTTTCTATTGACGTCAATGGGTTTTACATCAAGCCTTTGGTGGGTTAGTATAAAAGTGGTTCTGGAGACTCGGGCTCAAATCTTAACCTTATGTCTCAAGGACCAAAGAGCATCAGCCTCTGCCAGCATCAGCAACAGCCAACAGAACTGAGAAGAGGGGCTGGGAGAATCCATCACCATCATGCTAGAAAAAAAACGGAGTGCTCTGAGCCTTCACTTAGTGAAAGAGCTCAAGAGAGGCAGACGGAATCTGACTCAGGCAGCACTGCCCCAGACTCAGGAGAGAGGTGAGCAATACTACTTGTAGGTCAGAGAGGGGAAGAAATCTTCAAGCTCCTCTTTACCATACTAAATGGGTGGAAGAAAGCAAAGTAATAAAAACATACAGTAAAATAACAGTGTAACGGGGAAATGTTTGTGTGAGAAAATATTGCCGTGCTCAATGTGTTTGCAAAGCTCTATCTTCTACCTTCTTTCGTCAAATCATTTTGATCTGTTTGAAACACGAGAGCTTCAGTTAGGATGCTGCGGGCTCATGGGACAGCACTGGAGGTGGGTCCCTCCCACCACCACTTTTTCCCTCTTCCCCCCAGCCAAGCACGCTAGGAAGTACTCCAGTGGTTGGATCAGTAGTGGAAGGGCTAAGTTAAGAAAAGACCAGGCATACAAAACACTATAATCTTGCAATATTCCTCGATCCTTAATTAAAGGCCTCCAATTCCACAGACTGACTGGGCACTCACAAGCATCCCTTTCTTGTTGCAGTGGGAATCCGTTCTGTTTAGAATTTTCAGTCATAGGCCCACTGACTCTAACTGGCTCAATTTCAAAGTCAGTTCCTACAATATCTTCCAGCAATAATTTTGTTACTTCAGAATTCAAAAGAATTTAATTGCTGCAGAAATTGTCGACATATTGGGCCCTATTTATAGTTCACCCCCATACAGCTTCCTTAGTTTTAACTATATTTATACGTTGGTGTAAGGGAGACGAGAATCAGGCAAATTTCTTTTGAACCAACAGAAGAACTTAGTTTGGCGGCAGTTTCTGCAGCCAATTTACTGAATGGAGCCTACACAAATACTAGAAAATAAAGAATTACCGTATATACTCGTTCATTAGCCCGTTCGTTTATAAGCCGACCCTGCAAAATGGATAGGTAAAAATAGCAAAAACTGTATATGACCCTTTCATAAGCCGACCTTATATTTCAGGGGTTGGAAAACTTTGGCTCCCGGCCCATCAGGGTAAGCCGCTGGCGGGTCGGGACGTTTTGTTTACTTGGAGAGTCTGCAGGCATGGAGCTCCTCAGCTCCCGGTGGCCGCAGTTCACCGTTCCCAGCCAATGGGAACTGCGGGAAGCGGTGCGGGCTGAGGGATGTGCTGGCCGCCGCTTCCTGTCGCCCCCATTGGCCTGGAGCGGCGAACCTCGGCCAGTGGAAGCCACGATTGGCCGAACCTGTGGACGCGGCAGGTAAACAAACTAGCCTGGCCCACCAGGGTGCTTACCCTGGCGGGCCGCGTGCCAAAGGTTGCCGATCCCTGTATTAGATATTCAATTCAATGATTCCATAGAGTTTAAGATCATCAAATTTTGGTGTAGACCCGTTTATAAGCCGACCCCCGCTCTTTGATGCGTCACTTTTTTACCAAAAATATTCGGCTTATGAACGAGTATATACGGTAAATTGGCTTAATTTTATGGAATTAGCTCTTGAAGGCTACATCTTTAAAAATTTGCAGGCATATGCATATTTTTTTTGTGATTTTCTTGTATCTCAATAATTTCCACTGGATTTTATGTTATGCACTTGTTGTATGTTTTATTATCAAACACTATAACCATGGAATAGATTCTCCAGATTCCAATGCATATTAACGTGCACTTTTGCATTCACTCAAATCTATTACATAATAATTCTATATAGTTATCTGCAAAGAATATTAGCACACATTTTTGCTGAGTATTGTCAGATTTTATATATAAATTAGTTATATAGATATCACTAGCATAAATATTCCTGGTTTATGAACATGCACAGTTATATTAGATCGGATTTTTTAAATTTTTGTTTCAAGACATAAGCCAAAACACCAACAGCGGTTAGGAAGAAACTACTCCTATGATCAGGTTATCAAAACTGCCCGCTATGGGGATTCTTGCACCTTCCTCTGAAGCATTTAATACTGTCCGCCGTCTCAAGATGAATAATGGAGACTAATAGCACATTGGTCTGATGCATTAAATCACTAGATGTAACTGTAAACAAAAATGTAAATCTGGTAATTTAAAAAGAGATGAAAAAAACATGCTAGGGTCATCCAGTCCGTCTGTCACACCTTGGGAATACTGAATTCTGCATTGCAAGCTAAACATAGATACTTTTATAAAAGTACATCTCCTCAGAGGGGACTTATCTAATACCTTTCTGTAGGAAGTTGATCAGAAATAATAAGAAGCAGCACAATTTATCAATAATTAATCCTCTCTAATATCAGGGCTAATGTTGTTGTCAAAACAGTCCAAAGCAATTCTTTGCAGATTCACTAAGAGGAACCTACTTCCATTATTTTCTTCTAAGCTATTGTCAAGTCAGTAATAAAGAATGACTAAAACTTGTTTATAATTAGGTCACTTTTCAGTAAAACAGCTGCTTCCAGCTGGACGATTTTCAATGCAGATCTCAGTCCAGCTCTCATATTTTCTATAAACATCGCTGGAAACTTAAAATTTTACTCTTTCAGAGAATGTCCTGCTCTAGAAAGTGAACTACATTGGACAGCATTAAAGTCCTTTCTTCCCCTGAAAGCCAGTTTGATTTTTAGACTCTGGACCTGTATTTTGTTAATTATATATTGCAAAAAGAAAAGTTTCGTCATGTTGAGCTATCCCGAGGAAAATGAGAGTAGCTTTCTTTTAATTATTTGTGTTAATCGTTATCACAACAATAGTAAGTAAATATTTTCTAAGGGCTGAATGTACAGTTAAATTAACACATACCAGCCATTGCTGAGGTATCTCTGGTAGAGGCATCTGAGGTGGGGCAGGCAAACTAGGCAAACTATTGGAAACTTCTTGTTTCTGTACATGTTCTTTTATTTCAAAACCTGCAGGAAAAAAATGCATGACATATAAGACAGTAAACCAAAGTATTAAGATGGGACACTGCTCCACTATATCTATTTACTATTCACATAATCTGTTAATTCTCCATTTCAAAGAACTTCTGAAACATTTTTACCTGCACGTTTGTTTTTAGCATCCAAAAATTTACCAACAAAGGTTGTATTCATCCACCTTCATAAATGGCAGAGGGTAGAGACCAACACAAGCTCCCAGAACGTGCATGTCTTTGACACAACTTTCCCTCTTGGCCTCATTCCCATTCCCCGGATCATAATTGATTTCCAAAGCCACACCGATGAATGTCTTAATGACTTAAAACACAACTTAATAGGATCAATGCTATAATTTAAGCTTCTAATTAAACAAAACAAACTCACGCTCACCCACCTAACTGTATCTGAGAAAACCAATCCAGTCTGCTGAATACCAGATACAGAAAACTATTCAGGAAATAGTTCTAGATTAGTATGAAAAAAATCAGAATTTAAGGGACCTAAATCAGTGGTTCTCAACCAGGGTTACATCGACTCATCTAGATATTTGCCCAGTTTTACAACATGCTACATAAAAAGCACTAACAAAGTCAGTACAAACTAAAATTTCATATGACTTGTTTACACTGCTCTATATATTACACACTGAAATGTAAGTACAATATTTATATTCCAATCAATTTATTTTATAATCATATGGTAAAAATGAGAAAGTACGCAATTTTTCCGTAATAGTGTGCCATGACACTTTTGTATTTTTATGTCTGATTTTGTAAGCAAGTAGTTTTTAAGTGCTGTGATACTTGGGGGTATTCAAGACAAATCAGACTCCTCAAAAGGGTACAGTAGTCTGGTAAGGTTGAGAGCCACTGATCTAAATAGCCAGAGTTTGAACAATTAACTAGACACTGTAACGTTGTGCAGTCTATATGGTTTTAGAAAAACATGATAATAAGTGAATATAATGTAACTGGGATAGTTTTAGAAAAATATGGTAAAAAGTGAATATAACGTAACTGGGATATGCTTCATGCAAAAGGTCTCTTGTAAGGTATCATTATGAGCTTTGTAATCTACTGAGTGTGGTCATCCTATTTGTATAAATGTACCACTCTTGTATCTAAAACTAGAAATATAAAATATAACTCTGAGGGTCTATTGTAATTATGTAAAGTGTAGGCCATTAATGATGGTTTGGAATCTTGATGACTCCCATTAACAAGGACCATTGTCTGCAGATGGCTGTATTTACCTGTGAGTCTTCCTGTATATGTGTGTGCTGGCAAGTGGGCAATGAAGTCTTGCAGTGACATGTGATCATGTCACCTGAACTGGAATCCATCTTTAACCTAGTGCTTTTCCAGTGGGGGGGCGGGGGGTGGAAACCCAGAGGGACAAAGGGTTCCCGCCTTATGCAAAAGATATATAAAGGGGTGGAAGAGAACAAAGGAGAGAGAGGAGCCATCATGAAGAATCCCCTAGCTATCACCTGAGCTGGAACAAGAGCTGTACCGGGGGAAAGAATTGTGCCCAGGCCTGGAAGGTGTCCAGTCTGAGAAAAAACTTACTGAAGCATCTCTGAGGGTGAGATTATCTGTATTCAGTTTGATTAGGCATAGATTTGCGCATTTTATTTTATTTTGCTTGGTGACTTACTTTGTTCTGTCTGTTACTACTTGGAACCACTTAAATCCTACTGTCTGTATTTAATAAAATCACTTTTTATTTAGTAATTTACTCAGAGTATGTATTGATACCTGGGGGAGCAAATGACTGTGCATATCTCTCTATCAGTGTTATAGAGGGCGAACAATTTATGAGTTTGCCCTGCATAAACTTTATGCAGGGTAAAATGGATTTATTTGGGTTTAGACCCCATTGGGAGTTGGGCATCTGAGTGCTAAAGACAAGCACACATCTGGGAGCTGTTTTCAGGTAAACTTGCAGCTTTGGGACAAGTGATTCAGACCCTGGGTCTGTGTTGGAGCAGACGGGAGTGTCTGGTCTGGCAAGACAGGGTGCTGGAGTCCTGAGCTGGCAGGGAAAACAGGAGCAGGGGTAGTTCTGGTACATTGGGTGGCAGCTCCCAAGGGGGTTTCTGTGATCCAACCCGTCACAGACACCTAATAGCTAAAGGGTCCCCTGCTGTTTGCAAGAGGAAGATATAGAAAATGGGGATGTCGACAAAAATGATTAGGGGGCTAGAGCACATGATTTATGAGGAGAGGCTGAGGGAACTGGGATTATTTAGTCTGCAGAAGAAAAGAATAAGAACATAACATAAGAACATAATGAGGGAGGATTTGATAGCAGCCTTCAACTACCTGAAAGGGGGCTCCAAAAAGGATGGGTCTAGACTGTTCTCAGTGGTAGCAGATGACAGAACAAGGAGTAATGGTCTCAAGTTGCAGTGGGGGAGGTTTAGGTTGGATATTAGGAAAAACTTTTTCACTAAGAGGGTGGTGAAGCACTGGAATGGGTTACCTAGGGAGGTGGTGGAATCTCCTTCCTTACAGGTTTTTAAAGTCAGGCTTGACAAAGCCCTGGCTGAGATGCTTTAGTTGGGGATTGGTCCTGCTTTGAACAGTGGGTTGGACTAGATAACCTCCAGAGGTCCCTTCAAACCCTGATATTCTATGATTCTATGTGCCAGTGGAGAAGAGGGTGCCGTCAGCCATCATTTACTAGGCTAGAAAGCGTCAACAAAATAAACTATTTGAACAGAGTGACACAATAGTTCTGTACTCCAAATATTTTCTTCTTTTGCATAAACTCGCAATTTTTGTTATGAGGAACAATAGTTTGCAAAAGGTCTAACAACAGAGTTTCATTAGTGCAACTGCCTCTGGAAAAAACAGAGAAGAGAACTTAAGTGGAAGGGAGGTTAAGTGTAAAAGCTGTGTCCTCCTACCAGCCACTCCTGCCTGTCAGTCATCAAGGAAGAAGAACAGTTCAGTAAACTAATTTGAATCCCAGTCACACTCTCTTAATGGGACTGTAGTATAGTTTATCAAAAAAAAAAAAATCAGCTTGGGAGACTAGGGTTCATTTCTTCAACATTCCGGTATAAATTCAATCAATGGAGCTGCATCCTGCTTACCCCAGGGCTGAATTTAGCTCTTAGTGTTTTGTTTAGCTTTTACATACATATTTGAACATCTTTGTCTGACGCCATACAACTCCCAAAAGTGTAATCAATGATTACATGCTTCTTGTCATAACACTGTAGTCCTAGTAGGTGTGAAGTAATAGATGGAAAAAACAATGCTGATAAAACAGACTATGACTCGGGGCCAGAGATAATTCTTTCTTCCTGAAAATCAAGTTTAGAGATATTTCTTAAAAAACGTTCAATTTTTTTAACTTTCAGTTGTTCCTCTTCATGTCGGACAAATCCATCTTTAGAATTTTACCCATTTGCTTATTTTTTCTTTGCTTTCTTTTGCTGTATTGGATTAATAATTAGAAAGTTTTCTGGGACAAAAAATCAAAATTAATTCTGCTGAATAAATAAATACATTTTTTCTCACATTTGTATTACTTCGTTTGCTAACAGCCAAAGCTGTATGTGTTAAATAAGGACTTTCCTCAATAGCCCATCTTGCATTTCCTTATGCAGTGAAGTCAGAATGATGTTTGTGGCATCAGCCATTTCTATGGAAACAGACTATGCTGTCAATCACACAATTATAAATTCATTGCAGGCTCTAGCAACAGAATAAACTTGATTTTTGGAAGACAAACCCCTGTCCCCACTTTGAACTTTAGGGTACAAGTGTGGGGGCCCTCATGAGGACTTCTAAGCTTAACTACCAGTTTAGATCTGGTCCGCTGCCACTATTCCCACAAGCTAATTCCCTTCCCTGGGTTTTGTTTCGGCTTGCCCTTTCTGATATTCGCTCCAACTGCTACTAGTTTTTTTCTTTTCTGCCACCTCCACCCATTTGGCTCCAATCTCCACCGCCTCGGTTACAGTTTTGGGCTTCCTATCTAGGATGTACCTTTCTATTTCCTCAGGAACACCCTCTAAAAACTGCTCCATTTTTACTAGGGAAACCAGATCTTCCAGAGATTTAACATTTGCTCCTGATATCCAGGCATCACAATTTTTGTCAATGTGGTAGGCATGCCGGGTAAATGCCACGTCTGGTTTCCACCTTAGGGCTCTGAACCGCCGACAGGCATGCTCGGGTGTTAGCCCCATTCTGAGTCTGGCCTTGTTTTTAAAAAGTTCATAACTGTTCATGTGTTCCTTAGGCATTTCAGCCGCCACCTCTGCTAAGGGTCCACTGAGCTGCGGCCTCAGCTCTACCATGTACTGGTTTGGAGTGATGCTGTATCCAAGGCAGGCCCTTTCAAAATTTTCTAAGAAGACCTCCGTATCATCGCCTGCCTTGTAGGTGGGGAATTTTCTGGGATGGGAAGTGGTACCTGGAGAGGAGTTGCTAGGATGGGCTGGTGCATCCTGCCTAGCCCTTGCTACTTCCAGTTCATGCTTCCTTTCTTTTTCTCTCTCCTCCCTTTCTTTTTCTTTCAGCTCTATCTCTTTTTCTTTCAGCTCCATCTCTCTCTTGTGGGCCTCCTCTTTGGCTTTTTCCAGCTCCATAGTTCTCTTGTGGGCCTCCTCTTTGGCTTTCTCTTCTCTTTCTTTTAGCTCCATCTCTCTCTTGTGGGCCTCCTCTTTGGCTTTCTCTTCTCTTTCTCTCAGCTCCATAGCTCTCTTGTGGGCCTCCTCTTTGGCTTTTTCTTCTTTTGTAGTCATTTTCCTGTTTTCTTGTGCTGGGTCACACCCCTCTGCAGTTGACTGAAACTGGGATGCACTTAGCTCAGACTGCTGCTGAGTTAACAGAGACTTTCTAACTAGCTACTCCCGAGGATGTAAAAAGAAAAAAAAAACAATTCAGCTTGTAAATTCCTTTTACCAGCTCATTAATTGAACCCTTCTCTTAACAAAGGCTCTTGTTAAAAAAACTTAACACCTCTGCCTT